CAACTGTCACAGTCTAGCTTCATGTACAAACACTGTTGGATCCTTCAGTTGTTCGTGTAACCATCCTTACACTGGAGATGGAAAAACGTGCAGGCTCGCGGCAGGTAAATATGTCACTTGTATCCTGTTTTGCTGTACAATGTTTGATATGCCATAAGTCTGTGAAAAGGAAGGTTTGTTAGAATTGGATGATAGCAAATGAATAAAGCAAAAAAAGAATATTCTGATGAAAAGACTAAAATTTTTACGTTCTGAAAGCAAAGTTTATTAAAGTTGGCAGATAACAAAAGGAAATCAACTCAAATAGTAGTTTATGTCCATCCATGAGACATAGACAGGTGACCTTAACTTCATCCCTATTAAAGATGACACAACAGAGCATAAATTTCGTTTTGACACACCGAATCTTGTTCTCCAAAGTCATAACTGACAACCCCTTATCTAGTGTTTATTGCAAGTCTTGTTGATTTTTTCTTCCTCGCAAAATAAAATTCTGCAGCAGAAAACAACATTTGATCTTCACTTAAGAATTTGTTTTTCAGTCCCAGGATATATTCTTTTGTGGATTCACGTCATTCATTTAATTCACATTTGTTTGTTTGGTTTTCAATCTTATATTTTGGAAGGGGAACAATCGCTCAGATCTAACACTTACTCAGCAGAAATGTGGTGCTTTCGTTAGGAGAGCGACTTAGAGTTGTTTACCATTTCCGAAAAAATAAAATAATACGAAATTTAGGTCTGAAGAGAATAGGATACACTTTTTTAGCTTGCCCGGCTAGGAGAAGTTTCGCCAAGAAAGGAACGTCTTAAAAGGTAGTCCAGAATTTTCAACCTAATTGGAAAATGAGCATCAGATTTGCTTGTGTCTACCAGTGTCAGATCTGTCGCTGGTCTCAACAGTTCTAGGCGTTCAGTGTAGCTTGCTGTATATGAACGAGCCAAATTGCATTCGGGTTTAACTTGAAGATTGTTCAGCCTCTTCTTTGGTGTTATTTGAGTAGGAACGGACACAAAAAAGGCAATAATACCAATAAAAAAAAGTACTCAATCAGTTAGCCACGCGTTACGCTTCGGAGTTGAAATCGCATACCCTTAACGCGTAACCAGGAATGCGACAAATACAGATACGTCATATCGCTTTCTGTTACACGCGAATGTTGCAAACGCCATCGTTGTGCTCAGATGCGAGAAGTAGGGCACATGCAACATAGCTCATAACACATTACACTGCGCGCAATTGAAGCGTGTGCTTTATTGCGCTTTCACGAGCTCAAGAGGACCATGCCAACTGGGCGCGTTTCACCCTATTGGACATTTTATAAATGCTGATTGATAAATACCTTCTGGTAATCTTCACTTTAAAGGGCTGCTTGGTTAATTGAAAAGAAATATCGGACTCGTGTTTAGAATATTAAGTGTCAGCGATTTCTACGATTTAAACAAAGTTGAATATTCGAAAGGTGTCTCCTCGTTGTATATATCAATCACTCATTGGCATTATCACGTGACCAATTCATCGCCTTGCTTTTAAATCCGTAGCTTTACCTTTTGTCACACCTTGTTACACTTCTTCTTCTTCCTCTTCGGCCCCGGACCCCCCTTATTTTCGGTAAAAAAAAAAAAATCACAGAAGGAAGAAAAACCGGCAGGGAAAGCGAAACGTCCCCCCCTCCCCCCTTCTCACCCCCGTAGCTAAAGGTCTGGATCCTCCACTGGTCACTTCTTTATTAAAAGAGCTATCAAGATTTTAATTACATAAAATACCATGAAAAAGAAACAACATAAAACAATACATTGAAAAATGACTTGAAACGAATAATAAGAAAATAATACAGTAGCATAAATAAAAATTAAAAAACTGAATAACAAGATAATGAAAAAAAAAACGCTTTGTTGTTAGCATTGGTTGAGTTTACTTTTTCTAATTGTAAAATCTACGTCAATTGTAGAAGAAATTTACAGGTTAACAATCGATGTCACTGTAGTAAAGGAGATCTATTTATTTACTCATTTAATTCAGTTACGTACCTGATGGCCGACAAATTGGATTACCAAACGGAGTAGCTTTGGGGAAAATGGGCAAGGGAAACCCTGATGCGATTCTAAATTTATGTCATTTCAGCTAATATCCAAATTCCAGTTTAGCCTTGCATAAATATTAACTTTAACCTAAAGAATTATTGATATGATCGGATATCGAATGTTTCTTTCGAACTTCAGTACCAAGGATAAAGAAACACAGTAGGACACGCGGATTGTTGTCTTCTATGTTTGAATTGTTAACTCACTTGATTTCCAGCTGAACTCCACTGACTCTCTGTTGTTCACTGTTCCACAGAATGTCAAAACTACCAAACCTTAAATAGTGCGGACAGAAAGACAAACTACTTTAACAGCCAGTCATGTGACAATGGACTTCGAGGTTGGTATCGTTTCCAGGGAGCAGCGGGCTCAAGAATGCCTACTTCATGTCCACCTACAAGCAAGTGTAACGCTCCTGCACCCGGCTGGTTAAATGGTGCTCATCCTGCAGTGCCTGATGGCAAAGTCACCAGGAAGGTCTGCTTTCACTGGAGTTCAAACTGTTGTAACTGGTCCACCAACATTGAAGTCAGAAACTGCAGCTCTTTCTATGTGTATTACTTCAATGGTACACCGAGCTGTTATCTCCGCTATTGTGGCACTGACTAAGTCAAAAAATATAGTTCTTGCATTACGTAGTGAGTAAACCTCAAATTTCTACCAAAAAAAGAAAAGACGATTAGAAGTGATTCGGGAAAGTTGATACTTCTGTCCTCCTTAGCTATAAGAAAAGAAACAATTTCTCTATCTTTGTCTAGTTTAAGGCGATTCACATTAATTGTAATTGTTATCCGAGACTGAGAATTCCTGCACTAGAATAATTATTAGTAAACTTAGATGTTATAAAACTTGAAACTTTACAATTTTCAGTTCCATTTAATGTGGAATATTTAAAGCTAGTTAATCCATGACATGGTCATTTGAGGTTTACTGATGGCATATAATCAGTTTTGTTAGAAGTGCACGGTTCATAACTTGTTACTCAGACTTCCTTAAAAAAAAAAACAAACAAACAAAGAAATAGAAGGTAGTTAATCATTAGTCTACGGTACTTTAATCATGTTGTTAATATACCCAAGGTTTCGACAGCCACCATATTTCGTATTCGCTTTTTGCGTAGTTTCTTCGCATTGATGATTCACAAGTTTAATAATCCAGGTAGAACTGAACATCTGCAACACTATATATAATTGATTAAGTACAACGGTAGTGTAACTTACTGACTTGAAGCTTCCATCGAATGATCCCTTCCGTATTCCCGCGGAATAAGTATCACTCAGTGTTTCTGGACTATCGTCACTCACGACACAAAAGGGAAGACTTCAAATGAGATTCCGTATTACTTTACTTTTACTGTGAAATAATACCATACATCATGATTATGCGTGTTCCTTTTCATTAGCCGGTGTGCTCAGATTGAGTCCGCGCTCCACGATCGATTTGAAGCGGTTAAAATAGGTTCATGTGACTTAAAAGTGGTCGATGAAAAGAGCGGATAGGCTTACTGCTGTAGAGAACGTTAAAGCACAAAACTTTGAAATATCGCTAGAGGTAAAATACAAGTTGTTGTAAGATTCATAGCTTTATTGATGAAATAGATTGAGTAACTTAAATAAAGAATCCTTCAGAAGACTGTCAGTTTGTCTATTATTCAATTTTTTATTTATTTATTTATTTGTTTATTTATTTTTGTTGTTGTTGTTGTTGTTAATGATGGTGGAAACAGGCCACGTCAGGTTAATTAGTCGACTGCTTGTTAATGGCCCAGGGAGGCGCCGGGGCCTCATATTTAGTGCGCTCGTCTCCGGAGAGAGCGTTCCGGGTTCGAGCCCTGGCCGGGGACATTTTGTTGTGTTCTTAGGCAAGACACTTTACTCTCACAGTGCCCCCTTCCACCCAAGTGTATAAAAGAGTTCGGGCAAATTTAATGATCGGGGTAACCTTGCGAGGGACCAGCGTCTCATCCAGGGGGGGGNGGGGAGTAGAAACACTCCTGGTCGTTTCATACCACAGAAACCGGGATGAGCTCCGACATGATGGACCTCTTGGCTCGTATGCAGCCTTAAACTTCATCCAGCAGGAATCGGCCAAATAAAAAATGTCTCCCTAAAGTTTTCTTTTACTTTCTATGACGGCAGCTCTCTAGCACTTGCATCGTCAACATTTCTTTTTTTGTTTCACTGTTATATGAAATAGATAGATCCCTCGTTGTCGTACGTCTGTTCAGTAATTGATCGCAGATGACGTCAAAATGTGGTAAGAACAAAAAGTATCACAGGAGAGACGAGTCCAAGATGTTTGCTTAACAGACACACAACAACATGGAATCTATTTTCTTTATAAAATAAAGAAATTATAAAGGTAAACAACATAAACAAACAAACAAAAATCAAAATGTGAGAATAATTCGACATATTATATAAATTGTAGCTGATAGTTGTTTGTTTGTAGCTGGTTGGCGACCATGAGCACATACCATTTGAACAAGGCATCTCCAGTTTTCAAACCCAGCTACGTTAACTACTCTGCTACGCCCCCTCATAATTTTGCCTAGACCAGAGCCTGTCAAACTGGTATCGATTTATTCTAATGGTTCACGGTGAACTTGCTCCTTGAACCCTTGAACCCAAATTGACACCTAAAACACAGATTTCAAAAATGGATTTAAGCAATAGACCACAAGTTTTTATGGTTTATAGGCTGACAAACCACTTGGGATGTTGGAAGAACACGAGAGGAATTCGTAAATCACGAGCCGCGGGCGAGTGATTTACGAATTCTTCGAGTGTTCTTCCAGCATCCCAAGTGGTTTATCAGCCTATAAACCATAAAAACTTGTGGTCTATTGCTTTTATGTAATAATTCTGAAGACACGCGAAATTTCCATGAGTTTACTGGCACAATAAACCATAGCTGATTGACCAGTCAGGGCGTGCGCATTCATTTAATTATCATGTAATAACAGGAGTCATAATCGGGTACGGAGACCGTAAGCGTGCGCCATTTCTAGTATTGGGGTTGTCCCCATGATATGGGACAATAATTCTATTTTTAGAACAAATTGCGCCATCGCCTGCGG